TATTATCTGTACAACATAAATAGTGTTGTTTTTAAGTAGACCTATCAGCATTGCAGCTCTGTTTTATTTGCAGTTCTATTATCTGCTGGGGTACTACCAGGCTCTGCTCATAACTGGGGTGATCCTTCTCACAGTCACTGAAGCAGTTCGACTTTATCTGGGCTACATTGGCAACCTCGAAGAGAAGGTAATTCAAACCAGTATCCTCTCTGAACCACAACACTGAGCTCTTTCATAGAGTCGTCTCCTGAATAACTCATAGGAGGAAGTGGCTGCTTAGGTATTCTTCCTGCGTGTGTAAACAGTCAGGTCTTGGCTACAACTGTCTACTGAGTTTATGTGTGGATGTGCAGGTGTATGTGTCTTTGCTTTCTTGTGGTTACAGCTGAAGCACCCGATGCCTCACTGTTCTATCTCTGCATCGCCGCCATCCGCCGACCCAGATTCTCTCTTCTTCCTTCCCTGTCATCAGGTGCCAGCGCTGGCAGCCTTCTGGCTCCTGACTTTCATGTTCCAGCTTCCAGTGCTGCTGTTCTTTCTGACCGATGAAGGAATTATCATCCTGCCTCTGGAGAGAGCCATCAACTCCCTATACCTCCTCTTGCTTCTTGCCCAGATCCTGGCCTCCTTCATGGCACTCAGAACCACCACCCGAAAGCTTACTCTTCTGTTCCATCTGCGCCAGGTTGGCAAGGTGGAGAACTTCCAGCACGTAGGGATGAGCCCTGTCTATGGGCTGCCCGACCACCACACTGTGCTGCCCATTTCACCCACCCATAATATGTACCATTAAGGTAAAGATCCATTCCAAGTTATGTTACACTATTAAATATTTTTGGATATTCTTATTACATATTTTGGGATGAAACTCTACTCTTGGTTACTTACTTTCCCTGAATGAATGTTAGCTTTATACTCAGTCAGTTGTGGCACTTTCAGAACACTATCCTAGTGAAAACTAGGTTGTGTCATTCTGTTTGTGCTGTGAATAGCTGATTTTATCAAACAGTAATAATGGTTTTGCATCTTTAATTATGATGGAAGCTGGAGTCTTGGTAGATCACAAATGACATTTTTGACCACGACACACTGCTGGTATTTCCCCAGGTAATGCAACGTGGTCATTTATTTCTGGAAGAAACAGCGAGAGACTTTTATGACATTTTTCCAATTAATCTTTAAGTCTTTTCTGCAGGATATAATATTAAATTTACTGTTTAAGTGGGATGCAGGAATATAAGTTCTTAGGGAATGTAAGGTATAAGAGTTTAAACCTAGCTGCAGCAGAAATGTGTCAAATATTTATGACCACATAGTGGCAGTCAGTGATCAAAAGAGGCACAGAGAGCGTCTGACAATGCTGCAAAGTCCAGAACAGATTATCATGCAGCACATGCCCCAATCAGGAAACCCTCTGGCTGAGGAATAAAGGTTAGGCCTGTCCACACTTCAATATGATGTATTATTTGATCATCTGTAACTTCATGTTGTGTTTAAATGAAAATCGATTTTATATTTTGCCATTTACAACTCTTTTTTCTGTTGGGCTATAAAATGTAGCCACTAAAGATGTCACAGTTGTTTTACAACAAGCTTTCAGCCAGTACTTGGTGCTCTGTTATTTCTCTGCTAGAGAGAAATTATTTGGTGTGGTGCACACAGTCTTCTGCAAGCTGGTTATGTGATAAGCACGGTTTCTGTGACACAACGTGCACATTTAGCTCTGCTTTATATTCAGAAAACAACAAGCTGCAGTGTCTGCTGCATTGTTCATGGAGAACAGAAAAATAAAAGCACATTCAGAGTGGAGAATGTATGCTTACCGCTTTATGTGAAGTGTGTGCTCAAAAGGTACCTTATATGTGAGGCCAGCTGTGCTCCTCAGCCTTGTTCTCATTGGTTGACAGTACCAAAGGCTCATGATGTATTGATTTGTTGTAAAAGCTTTTCGGTGCTTCTTTCACTGAGTTGCAACTATTTATGGATAAAAATCATACAGTGTATATCAAAAGAGAAGTAACAGGCCTGCTGTGGAGTTTCTTTCTCAGACTAACGCTAGACGTGTTTTGTGTTCTAGTGTTGCTTTCACACTCCCCACTCTCCTGACAGGTAATGAACAGCATGTTCACCATTCATCTTGACCCATTCATCTTGTCCTGTATCTGGTTTTAAAAAGTGTAAGCTCTATTAGTGCCGGAGCGGAAGAAGATACCCTCAGCTGTTGGTGAAAAAAAGAAATAGACATTTCTTCTGGAGAGACAGTGGACACGTGAAACAGCCCCTCACACTTTTCACCTCATCAAATTGCCTTTCTATGATGGAGTGTGGTGAATAATAGCCCAGGTCAGTCTGGGGACACAATGTTCTCCACCTCAATAAATACATTATTTCCCTCATGCATTTTGGCATCCTTTTGGAAATACACTTCTGCAACTTCTGATCAAGTTTTCTTTTCCACAACTTTTCCACAGTACCTTACTGTAACATCAGCTGGGCTTCAGTGAGTCTGTCATCACCTTGATTATGATTGGGTGCTGCTCAGAGATAACTGCAAAAAGTGACTGACAAAGATGTTCTAAGCACCAGAGGGAAGCGATATCCTGCACATCACAGCGACATCCTCTCAAATGTTCAGTAATCCCTCATGGTGGAGAGCTCATCGGCCCAGCCAGGACACCTGGAAATGTTCCCATCCTCTTAATTCCAGGTGGTTACACAATGAGCCGTAACACTCACAATTTATCGTGTGACACATAGACAAAGATCTATTCACACACAAGCAATTTGGAGTCACCAACCAACCTGGTGTCTTTGGATTGTTGAAGCAAGTCAGAGTACCTGGAGAAACCTCATTTGTAAAGATTTTATGTCTTCAGTAGAAACCCAGTAGGCTGAGAGCGACGGACAGGGAGGAAATCAGAAAGTATCGATAGGCAACCTGACACATCGCTGGATTTCATCTGTTCATCACCAGCCTTATCCTTCTGGTATCTAGTCATGCAGACAATTTTGGCTTTATTTGGAAAAACTTTACAAAGCCTAAAAATACTGTGAGCAACACAGTTCGCCACAAACGCCACTTACCTCCACTGTGCTGTGGTGAAAGACAACATTTCAGGCAAGTTCTCAAGACTATTGTTTACCACTCCTTTTGTGCCAACAAACAATAGTACTAGAGGTAGTATATGAGAGTTTTCCTCTTCTACCTCTTTGGGTGAACCAGTCCTTTAATTAACTAAATCTGATAAGCGAATAAAGTAATTCATTAGTAATACATCAACTGGCCCACCTCTGCTGGCCTCTGCTTTTCCTCCATGACCCGTTTCCATTAGCAACTGCAGAAAAATACTTCCAAGAATTCACCACAGGCTTAGCTGCACAGGCCTGCAGGGAGTGTCACGCTGCGAACCTGCTGCCGAACCCTCTGGGACATTGTTCAGTCTATCTTACTCATGTCCCCAGATATGATAGAGCAGGACATGACATCTACAAAGAAATGGGAGTATGATGGGAAAACGTGCGGCTCCATTAGATGATGCCCTTCCCGTGACCTAACTACTTGCCCACTCATATTAGAACAAGCAGAAATGCCTTTTAGAGGTGGAGAATACATAATGCACAACTACCGACTGTAAAGGATATTAGGATATTAAATTCAAATCTCATTCATAAGCCACTTATCATGTCTTCACCTTCGCAGCCAGCAGGTTTTGTAGAAAACCTGATATCATATTGGTGAGCAGGGAATATTCAAACCTAGACTGAAATTGGCAGCTGGAAATTTTCAATTTGGGTCTGATTAACTGCATGGGTGAGGGGGAATTCACTTCCCCTGCTGGCTTAAATGGCCACTCATCATACAGTACGGATGAATATTTTATCAGCGGCGACAGTATTAAATGTGCAGGGTTTGATGACACAGGAGAGTGGACTGCCTTTAGAGTAAACCATATAAAAACTTATATTCAGTTTATGAGGTTTTTTTATTTTGCCATAATTTAACTGAGCCATTTGTATGTTACCTGAATTAGTTCTTTATATGAGAGTCAGGTTTGTTTCATTCTGGGAGATGGAATTCTTATGTTTTTAAGTGCACAGACTGGGTTTGCTGTTATGGAGAATGTGCAGGAAAAGGCAGCCAGCCTTTAACAAACTAAAGATTTTATGTAAATGTTGACCTAAAAAAGGTTTTAATGATCCATTACTGAAAGAATTTTGACTGGTCGATGGTGAATATAATACATCTAAAATTTGGTGACATTATACTGAAGAGATGAAGACATTATTTTTGAGTGCAGGGCTTCCAAGAGACATGGATTCCTTCTCTTGTAAGTTTTAGCTGTGATCACTGGGGCCTGGTGGTGAAGCCCAGCTTAACCTAAGTCCTGTCATTTGAGGATCTATTACATGGACTTGAAGGTCCCTGTCGGCAGTTAGCTGAATTTGGCCCACAGCGGTCTCAGGACCAGTCCCATGCAAAAATGTATCAGTCTTAATGTGGTCTTTCAGTTTTGAGTTTGTCATGAGATGTGCACTTCTGCTGATCAGTCACTAACTCAGCATGTTACTCTGCAGTTTCTGTAAGCCAGGCTGTTGGTCTCTGAAAGATGAACAGATTTACTGTGTTTAAAATATATGCCCAGGATTCCACAGAAAGCAGTATTGACTGGATTATCCTTTCTGAATAAATAAGGAAACCACCACTGTGTTAAGGAATTATCTGTCTATATCTGTCTTACTGTAGCTTTGTTTACTGTTGTTGCTCTACAGCTACAGTATAAAACATTACATCTTTGAGTGGAGGAATGAATACATTAGGCTTTCCTAAAGTTTTTATGAAACAGAAACATGTTTAGACAGAAATTCATCTTACTCTACACTAGCTACAGCTGTCGACTTCTCTGCTCAGACAAATCTAGCCGGGACTCTTGCCAGCAAGCATAGTCCTTCCAGCCATCCACAGAAGTTGTAAATCCCCCCATTATTGTAGATTAAAAAAAATTAACTACACAATAAAAACATCCATCTGCCTGGCAAATCCCTTGTCCTTGGTGAATTCTAAAGTTAGTGTAATACTTTAATGTGTTGGAAACAAGGCCTATGGCACAGCCATGGCTAAGCGCTGTAGTCAAGGACACTGAACAGACAAGAACTGTAGTGCACATCAAATCTGTGACCCTTTAATTAAGGACAATTACATTAGCACTTAATAAGGTTGCAGTAGGCGACTTCATGATGTGCAGAACAGAAAAGCTTCTCATCAAATGAAACCCAGTAGAGTAATTAGATGACTAATGAAATAAATGACTAAATGAAATTCTGGTGTTGGTCATGGTCACTGGCAGCACATGAAGCAAAATACTGAATAAAAATCTATAATGAAATGCTCCCAAAACCTTGTCCTTTTTGCTTCCTTGATCACAAAATGATGTGAGACAAATCCAACTTGTAATATACTCACATCACATTACATGATCTCCCCACAGTGAATTTCAAGCTGTTCTAAGTTAACGGTTGCTTATGTTTATCTTCAGCTTTCAGTCAGAGTCGGCTGTGCGTGATGTTACCTTTATTGTGGCTCCAAATTCATTTGTTGCTACGTTTGACAAGAGCATTGATTTAAATCATTGGCATGCCAATAATTCAGAGTTGATGAGACTGTAATCAGTATAGTTCTACTTATAAACACACAGGCAACAAACACGTTACAATTCACACCTGCTCAAATATAGTGATCCGGTCAGGATTAACCATCTCTCTCTCAGGGACACGTGAGCTTGACTCTGGACGAAGCTTTAATAACACTGGCTGATGCAGACACTGAGCTCATAGACCTCCTTTCCTTCACCTTAGAGATATCATCATT